CCATTGGATATCGAAACGGTTTCCAATTTTTCTAATTTTTTGTAAGGATTATCTATGAATGAAAACCTAAAAAATAGATAGTTTGGATCGTTGAAAAAAAAAATCATAGAGTACCCTAAAGAGTATCCCTCAAATAATTTTATTTGAGGGATCCCTCAATAGAATGAGACATATATATATATATATAATATACATAAAGTTTTTATTGAGGGATACCCTTGTAGGGCATACTCCGCATTGTATTTTCCTAATCCAAACCGTCTATTTTGTAGATATTCATTCAAAGATCATCTATATAAAAAAAGGAAATATTTTTGCTTACCACTTTAACTCAATGTGTATGCTCACCACCATTCTTAATATTTTACACATGTCCGTAGGTATAATTATGGTTAACTTTTTACTTTGATTTATGTAACCGTGATTATAGTACTTATGGACGTGTCAAGTGTTAAGAAGAGTGGTGAACATATATCTTGGGTTAAGGTGGTGAGCATACACCTTGGGTTAAAGTGGTGAGCAAAAATGTTTCATATAAAAAATCACTTGAATATGATATCATTTGACCACTCAATTAAATCATTAAAATTTTAGTACTTTCTTGAAGCAACATGTTCATTGATTTTATAGGACACAATTAGATGTCTAAACGATTTCCGATTTGTCTAGCACAAAGTGTAAGTGTGTCTTGATGTAGCAATAAGTGAACTTATAAATCGTGGCTATTATGACATGAAAGGTGATCGTACTCTTTTATGGGAGTTGCTACATTAGATTTGAATTTTACCAACATTACTAGGCATTGTTTGCTTTGGATGAATTCTTTGAAAATGTCAGTAGTAATGCTCATTTTAGGATTGGTAATAAACTATTCTAGTTATAGTGTTTATAAATGTTGATTATGGTATTGAAAAAAAAAAAATTTATATTCTCCTTTTTATGATTAATTTGTGCAATAACAGAAATTAAAGTAAATTCATTTTTTCAGTAAATATCCATCCTTAATACATAAAAAAATATATGCTTGCTAGGAATTTAGAATATGTAGATTTAAATTAACACCATGAATTATTTGGTCATTTGGTTCTTTTGCCTTTTATTTTTCAGTTTTATAATTTTTCCTTATATGATAAATTTCAATCCCTTCCAATGTTACCAAAATTATTGTCCAAGACGGGGTATATATATAGTATGGGAGCGGATCCGCTATCCCCAAACCCATATCCCCTCTGTGTCCGTTGCTTAATTGAGCGACATCTGTACTTCCAACCTAACTAAAATATTAACGGAATAGAGTTAACGCTGTTAATACTTGGTTAAGTGGAAATACAGATGTCACTCAACTATGCAAGGGACAGGCTCAATCGCTAACGGCTCCTGTGGGCATCCATAACCAGTATGATGACACGACGACACAAACAAACACCATACAACACAAAAAGTTGCATGTGGAATTGGAATGTTCTATTTGCATGGTTGCCACGTACATAAACGTGTCCCAGCACCTCCAAATGGAAACTCACCAAAAAAAAAAAGTAGAAAAAGAGACCGACAAAAATTTATATATAATTCAAAAGCACCAACAAAAACAACACAAGATATCTCAGCCGAGAAAGTGATGGAGACAAAAGTTGCAGAGCAGGCAATGGAGGAGCATGGCAACAAGGACGAGCAACAGAGGGAGAAGAAGATGAGGGTGATGGTGGCCATAGACGAGAGTGAGTGGAGCTTCTACGCGCTCAAGTGGGCGCTTGACCATCTTTTTGTGGGGCCCAATGACAAGGCCGGTGTGGCGGCGACCCTGGAAGCACCTGCGGGGAGCCAAGAGAATGTGAGCATGGCGACTTTGGTCCACGTTATGCCGCCGTTCTATAACTACGTCCTCCCGGCTGGGCCCGGTGGGGCTGCATATTATGTGACGCCGGCTCTGTTGGAATCTGTGCGCAAGGCTCAAGAAGACGGTGCTGCCGATGTACTCTCCCGCGCTTTGGAGATATGCAAGGATAAGATGGTAATTAATTAGTTTATGATACTCTCCCGTCCGGTGTTGTGTTATATAATTGGATGAACTTAATTAACATGATGTGCAGATCAAAGCAGAAACCGTAATTCTACGTGGAGATCCGAAGGACATGATTTGCGAAGCCACTGAGCAGAGGCATGTGGATCTTCTGGTTGTAGGTAGCCGTGGCCTTGGCATGGTCAAGAGGTGATTTCTCCATCTACACACAGCTTATTACATGTTTACTGAACTCAGATTATTTTCTCTGTCAAATTCAGGATGTTCATTTGGAATTCACTCAAAATCCCAAAAATACATATAAATATTTATTTTCATCAGCATTATTGTATTTAATTTGTATTATTAATTATTATTATTTTTAAAAAAAATTGGTTGGGTGGTGGTGCAGAGCATTCTTAGGAAGCGTGAGTGACTACTGCGCGCATCATGCAAAATGCCCAGTTGTAATTGTGAAGCCACCAAAGGAGTCTGGAAAGCCACCAAAGGAGACTGGAAAGAAGTAGCTTTTTATTAGAGTTTTTATTTATTTATTATGAAATGTATCAAGAGCAGAAGGTGTAAACTGTAAAAGTTCCTTTTCATGTAATTATTATTATAAATGGTTTCTTCTGGTAAGTTTTTTGTTCATCTAATTACAAAACTCCACCAGCTACGTACATAATACATTGACCAATTTCAGATTGTGAATAGATATAATTAGGGGCATGTTTTGTCTTCTCGTCATCAATATAAAGACGAAATGTAGAAGTGTTAGATAGTGATCAGAAAACTCATGCACCTTCAGTAGGAAGGGCAAGTCGAAGTTAAGAGTGCCCGTTTGAGAATGCTTATTTAGGAAGCGTTTGAGAATACTTACATAGGAATGCTTATGTAGGAAGCACTACGGGAGTGCTTATCTAAAAACCGATTCTAATTCTGCTTTAGAAACGTGTTTATTATAAACACAACAGAACTTTCATTTACAGTGCTTATCTAAAAGAGTGATGCTATGGGTTTATATTAGGGAGTTTCACTAAAACACCCAAAATGGAGGTTGAAATTATAAAAAAACCCAACACCCAAAACACTTTATAAACACACTCAAAACCCATCATTACACACATTCAAAATCCATTTATAAACACACCCAAAAAGTTGACTTTGGGGTTGATTTTGGGTGTGTTTCTATGTTTAAATAGTGCTTGGGTTTTTTTATAAATACATGTCTAGGATTGGGTTTATTTATAAATTTGTATTTATATTAATACTAACTTATGTGGTATATGACATGGTAATTTATGTCACATCATTTTTTTTTGCCAGAATTAACTTAATTATTTAGTTAAAAATAAATAAAAATTAAACCCTAAATAAATAAATTCTTCTCCACTTCCTTCTTTCTCAGATCTACCATGGCCTCCTCTTTCAAAAATACTCATACCCCTTCCCCTCTTCCTCGTTTGACCTTTACCAATCTCATATGTCTTATTGGTCCCCATCCAAACAAATGTTGGAGCAAACGGCATCTCTTACCTCCAAGTATGTAAACCAACAATTTATTCTGATTCAAAGACTGGATTCATACGAATAAACAAAGCAACAATTTACTTTGATCCAAAAATTGTGTCACAAAGAAGAAATTTTTTTTTGTTTAAATAGCTTCCATTGAATTTTTTGCGTGGAAGGCAACAACTCGAAGTTATACAAACAAAAGCAAAATGATCACAGCATGCCCAAACCCAACAGTCCCAATGAAACCAAACATTAATTTCAGCCCTCACGGCTCTCCCTGCAACGAGGTTTGTATACTGTTCTATGCCTTCACGTATGCAGACTAATGTATGCAAAAAAATTATCATACATGACCACGACACTGATACATAAATGAGAAGAGAATTCCTTGGTAAGTATCAATATTGCGAAACAGCTGCAGCATTGAAGGGTTGTGTGATGTATTGCTTGATGTGGAAGATGGCTCAAACTAATAAAAATGAGGAAGATGGATAAACATATGGGAGATGGCCAGAATCTATATAGTCTGTTAACTGAAACCATGACAAGATTTGGGAAGTGAGGCCATGGCAGATGACATGGGTTGACATGTCATGTGTCAAATAAGTTGGTATCACTAAGTTGGTATTTAAGTTGGTGCCTGTGGCATTACTCTATCTAAAAAGCGATTCTGCTTTAGAAACGTGTTTATTATAAACACAATAGAACTTTCATTTAAAGAACTTAATAGATGTTTCGAGAAAGCACTACTAAACAGCCCCAAGTCGAAGCACATCATAGAAGATAATGGGTAACAAACAATGCAAAGCTAAAGGTGTGGATCTAACTAAGACGAACTAGGGGTAATTGGGACTTGGTTACAGACCACCTCTCTAAGCTCACCAACTCAGACAGGTGTCACTATATGATTGGAGAGAGAATTTAATGCATTCCTAATCCCTTCTAAGTGTCCCCACTTGCTGGTCTCCTTTGTAATCAACACAACAACCCATGCATAAGCACTCCCTCTAATTTTTTTTTTATAGTTATAAAAAGCTATATTTTCTAATATTCTACACACATGTAAATAAAATCAAATAATTTTTTTTATGTGAAGCTATATATGCAGGATTTATTTTCGACTTCGTCATGGCCTTAAAAATCTCATGTCCGACCTGCACTTTGGTAAGAAGAAGAAGATCATCCATTATGTTCTGACCGAATAAAACTCTGACTGTGAATCCGATCAAAAGTCCTCAGTTGACCGCCCGATCTTCCAAGTGTCAACAGATAAAACAGGACACGAAAATAGTAAAACACAGAGTTGCGTCGAGGTCCATCTCATCTCATATACCGATAATACAATTAGCTCTCAACCCACAGAAATGCCAAAATTGCATGAGGAATTGGAATTTTCTATTTGCATGGTTGCCACGTACAGAAACGTGTCCTTGTACCTCCACCTTTAAGAAAAAGAGACCGACATATATACATATATATACCATTCAAAAGCACCAACAAAACCACACAAGAAGAAGAAGAAGATATATATCTCAGCCAAGCAAGTGTTGCAGACACCAATAGTTGCAGAGCAGGCAGTGGTGCAAAGCAGGGACGACGAGCAACAGAGGAAGAAGAAGAAGATGAAGGTGATAGTGGCCATAGACGGAAGTGAGGAGAGCTTCTATGCGCTCAAGTGGGCCCTTGACTTTCTTCTTGTCGGGCCCAAGGACAACGCCGATGATGTGGCTACAAGCACAGGCACGGCGACCCTGGAAGCACCTCAAGCAGGGAGCCATGAGAATGTGAGCATGGTGACTCTGGTTTATGTTATGCAGCCGTTCCAGAACTACGTCCTCCCTGCTGCTGGGTCTGCTGAATTGCGCAAGGAACAAGAAGAAAAGGCTGCTGCTATACTCGCCCGTGCTTTGGAGATTTGCAAGGATAAGATGGTAATTAATGAGAGATTCCTTACATATAAGTTTTAAGATTCCTCAATAGAATAGCACTAACACACACGATGTTTAATGTTTATGCCGAATTGGTTAGAGCAGATGTACTTATTATTTTGCACCCGAGTTTGAATCTCCCTTCCCCGTAGTTTAGATTAGATGATTAGATTAAAGTAGAATATCGTTTTTATAAAAATAAAAAAATATGTTATGGTATTAAAAAAAATTGTTGATGTTATGTTGTGAATTAATCATTTATCAGGTTGGTTGGTTTCTTAATTATATTTTTTTTATTAAGGATTTCAATTATGGGTTTGTAGCGATGAATTTTGGATGAACTTAATTAACATGATGTGCAGATCAAAGCAGAAACCCTAATTCTACGTGGAGATCCGAAGGACATGATTTGCGAAGCCACAGAGCAGAGGCATGTGGATCTTCTGGTTGTAGGTAGCCGTGGCCTTGGCATGGTTAAGAGGTGATTTTCGTCATCCACACAGACACAGCTCATGTTTACTGAACTCAGATTATTTTCCCTGACAAATTCAGGATGTTCATTTGGAATTCACTCAAAATGCAATATATATATATATGTATAAAATTTTCATCAGCTAGTGATTTGTATTATTATTTTATTTTTTAATTCGTTTTGTTGGGTGGTGCAGAGCATTCTTAGGAAGCGTGAGTAGCTACTGTGCACATCATGCAAAATGCCCAGTTGTAATTGTGAAGCCACCCAAGGAGTCTGGAAAGCAGTAGGTTTTTATATATGAAAATGATATATATGTATCAATAAATAACAGATGGTGCGAATTGAAAAAGTTCCTTTTCATGTAATCATTACAAATGCTTATGTAGAAAAAGCTTTTGCTCCCGCTTGGGAGTGCTTATCTAGAACCACTTCTGCTCTAGAACCACTTTTATTATGAGCACAGCAAAAATTTTACTCAAAATTGAAGTCCTATTTGAGAAAACAAATTAGATAAAGCATGACCAAACAGGCCTTAAATCAAAGACTAAGCACTATCAAATAGGCCCCAAGTCAAAGCCCTAAGTCAAAGACTAAGCACTATCAAACAGGTCCTAAGTCAAAGTACTACCAAACAGACACTATCAAACAGGTCCTAAGTCAAAGAGTACTACCAAACAGACACTATCAAACAGGTCCTAAGTCAAAGAGTACTACCAAACAGACACTATCAAACAGGTCCTAAGTCAAAGAGTACTACCAAACAGACACTATCAAACAGGTCCTAAGTCAAAGCACTACCAACCCTAAGTCGAAGCACTATACAAGAAGATAACGGGTAACAAACAATGCAAAGCTAAAGGCTTGGATGTTATATCACAACTCTAGTTTTTCCATTGCTGTCAAACATATAACAACTTCTGTGCTTTCATTTAAACAGAAGTTAGTGTGTGTAGTGATATCCCAATGTGTTACTTTCAAGTGTCGACAGATAAACCACCCGGCCTTCCAAGTGTCGACGGACAAAACAGAACACAATGTGTTACTTTCACAAATAAGCTTTGAGTTTACATATTACGAATTAAATTTAAATTGAGAAGAATTTCACAGGTCACGAGGATGACGCGACACCAAAATAGTAAAACACAAAGAGTTGCGTCGAGGTCTATCTCATCTCATATACCCCACGCTAATGCCAAATTTGCATGAGGAATTGGAATTTTCTATTTGCATTGCTGCCACGTACATAAACGCGTCCTTGTACCTCCACTCCAAACAAACAAATGGAAATTCACCTTTAAGAAAAAGAGACCGACATATATACTTATATATGCCATTCAAAAGCACCAATAAAACCACACAAGAAGAAGAAGAAGATATCTCAGCCAAGCAAGTGTTGCAGACAACAATAGTTGCAGAGCAGGCAGTGGTGCAAAGCGGGGACGACGAGCAACAGAGGAAGAAGGAGAAGATGAGGGTGGTGGTGGCCATAGACGGAAGTGAGGGGAGCTTCTATGCGCTCAAGTGGGCCCTTGACCTTCTTCTTGTGGGGCCCAAGGACAACGCCGATGATGTGGCTACAAGCACAGGCACGGCGACCCTGGAAGCACCTCATGCAGGGAGCCATGAGAACGTGAGCATGGTGACTCTGGTTTATGTTATGCAGCCGTTCCAGAACTACGTCCTCTCTGCTGCTGTGTCTGGTGAATTGCGCAAGGAACAAGAAGAAAGGGCCACCGCTATACTCGCCCACGCTTTGGAGATTTGCAAGGATAAGAAGGTAATTAATTTAGTTTAGTAGGATGAAATATTAAAGGAATTTAGAAGTTCCACCTCAAAATCAATTGGCAATGGGAGTAATCCAACTCCTTATAAGCCCTTATTAGGTTTCTCATTCTCAACTTTTCAATGTGAGACTTTTGACCTTCACATTCTCACACGTCTTCTCTGATACTATGAAGGAAGTTAAAGTTCTACCCCAAAACCAATTGGCTATGAGGAGAGAAACTCAACTCCTTATAAATTTTTGCTAGGTTTTTTTAACTTTCTAATGTGGGACTCTTTATCTTCACATTCTGACACTCGCTTAAACACAGTGTTTATCAAATTTGTGGATGACAAATCCTTTTAACTCTATGAATGAAACTTAAAAAATAGACAGTTTTGATAGTGAAAATACAATGCGAGTCAACATTGCATAAGTTTAAGATCCCTCAATAGATTAGCACTCTAACACACACACACACACAATGTTTTAATGTTTATGTTGTTATTTTGTGAATTAATCATTTATCAGGTTGGTTAATGTATCTAAGGATTTCTCTTGCGTTATTAGTTTCTTCATTAATGATTCTAATTATGGGTTCAGATAATTAGATGAGAGGTTTTGTGATGCATTTGGGTGAACTTAACTAACATGATTCTAGTAATTGTGCAGATCAAAGCCCAAACCCTAATTCTAAGTGGAGATCCGAATGACATGATTTGTCAAGCCACAGAGCAGATGCATGTGGATCTTTTGGTTGTAGGCAGCCGTGGCCTTGGCATGGTCAAGAGGTGATTTTCTTATTAATGTTCATTTGGAATTCCTGCTTACAATTGTAACTCAAAATCCAAACAACATTTATTCTATTTTATTTGCATAATTAATTTAATTTAATTTAATTTTGTTTTTTGTTGGGTGGTGCAGAACATTCATAGGAAGCGTGAGTGACTACTGCGCACATCATGCAAAATGCCCAGTTGTAATTGTGAAGCCACCCAAGGAGTCTGGAAAGCAGTAGGTTTTTATATATGAGAAATAAAATGTATCAATAAATAACAGATGGTGTGAATTGAAAATGTTCCTTTTCATGTAATCATTACAAATGCTTATGTAGAAAACGCTTTTGCTCCCGTTTGGGAGTGCTTATCTAGAAGCAGTTCTGCTCTAGAACCACTTTTATTATAAGCACAACAAAAATTTTACTTAAAATTGAAGTCCTATTTGAGAAAACAAATTAGATAGGCGTTTCGAGAAAAGCACTACCAAACAAGCCCTAAATGAAGGGCTATAGAAGAAGATAATGGGCAACAAACAATGCAAAGCTAAAGGTGCGGATGTTATGTTACAACTCTAGTTTTTCCATTGCTGTCAAACATGTTATAAGATACTTTGTGCTTTCATTTAAACAGATGTTAGTGTGCGTGTGGTGTGATATCCCATTCAGAATCTTCTTTCCCCCCGACCAAATAATCTCAGCCTGCCCTCAAACAATACACAGTATACAGACATGGAACTTTACATAAACGAGAAAATGAACATGGAACTATACATAAACGTGAAGATGAACCGGGCCCATCAAACCAGGTCGACCGAGGACCATTTTGAGAAGTCAAATAGTTAGCTCGCTTGCCTTGATTAGCCCTGCAGATAATTCCCAATCCCCATTATTAAACCAAGAAATCTCAACAGTCAACAATTTGGGAAATAAATGAGTTTGAAAGACAGACCTGTTGGCTCAGAATTTCCACTGCCACATTAAGATCCCCATCTGCAGCTGCAAGAGCAACTTCTACCTGTGTCTGTAACCCATACCAAGACATTTATTGACATTCAAAGATCTTCTTCATTAAAGCAAGCATCAGCTATAATGCTGAACGTAAAACTATGCTCCTCGATCCTAAAACATTTTTCAAAACTAGCCTTGCAATCTTCAACTCTATGAATATGAATCAAGCTAGATAAGGAAAATGTATCCTATATAGGATGGTTAGCTCATTTGATCAAGGGAAAGGAATTTTCAAGTGTTTTACCCTTTCAAAGCCCATTGATACAAGCTTCTGGATTTCTTCTTCAGAAACAACATAATCCTGCACCCAAATGATAAGTAAACCAAGATATATGTGTGAATCAGATGAGCTGGAAGATGTTGAAAGGAAAACTCAACTTATTGATTAAAAGAACAAACCTGATGGTGCACAGGAACTTCTGCTGCAGCGACTGCTGTATTATTTAGGGTTGACCGCCTGAAAATATCAAGGAAATAGATAGTACCTATTTCTAGTCAGATGCATGGTCGGGAACTCTTCGAATAACAAACTAATGTAAAAATTCTGTTTTTGCACTATTTAAACATGACTCAGACCCGAGGTTAGGAGTGTGGGTTTACTGTCCAAGTCACAAAAGTAAAGACATTCCTTTGTATTTGATAGCACAGAAAAGTTCTCTCTCTATCTCTAAAACATGCTATCAGTAGCGATTAATCATAGGCAAGATAACTTTCTATCTTTACAACAAGCCATTAGTAGTGATTAATCATTAACAATGTTACTGCCAGAATCACCTTTACCACCACAACCGCTAACATTATAACCTTTTCCACATCTGGAAAAAAATTACTCATGCATCAACGTGAAAGACTGTTGCAATAGTGTAACCTCAGTTTACATATCTTTTCTCACCAACGAGAAAAACTCTCCTGAATCCATTCAATATAAAAATGCATGAGTAAAAGAACAAGAAAGCCTCTACAAGTGATGGACTAACTACCAAATTTCTTGTAAACTGAAAAACACAATCCATGAACAGAAATAGCTCGTTAACCTAGAAGCAGGAAGTTTTCCTAGTACCTTCCATCAGATAACTGCTGTCCTGTACCAATAACTGCCATGTCTGATGGATGTTCTGAGTTGCTATTATCCAAAAGTCTAACCTGTAAGTTTGATTCTGAATTAGCATCAGAAGCAGTATTTCGACCAGATCCAAGTGTTCTTCCCCTCCCAGGAAACATGTGACCGTCTTGTGCTGACTGCATTATTACAATAGGAAGTCATCAAATTCAATAACTTAATCTACATTCACCAAACACCGAGGGTTAAAGTTTACAACGAAGTGTGCAATTTTAAAGATTGAATTGAAGGCTAAAACACCCTTAACACAAGTGGAAGAAAAAAAAAACACAAAACCTGTGCAGATGTTTCCCTCTGTGGAATCCATGAAGACAAGTTTCTCCAGATACTTCCGGCAGAGAATCCACTGGTTAAGAAAATATATCATTTTATGACTCTTAATAGTACATATAATTGTAGTCTGTTAAGAAACAGAAGGTGCTTAATTTATCGACAAGTAAACATTAAAAAACAAAAGAAATATTACTTACCTAGATGCTGTACCTTGGCTTGAATATGTAGGGATGAAGGCTGAAGGATTCCCACCAGTGCACAAAATAAATTTAGGCCGCCTCACACAAGTTGACTGAAAACATAATATTTTCAAAGAACAACAATTAGACATCCATGCAAATTATGAATGCACAGGTTGGAAAAGATAAAAGAATAATAGTAAGTTTCCAAATTGATTGATCATCAAAAGCAGTTTACTTACAAACAACGAGGAGGCCTCAATTGTAGAATAGAAGGATGGTCCGGGAATGAGGAAATTGAATAATCCGTAAGTATCTGTATTGTAAAGACAAGACATAGAATTGTCACCAACTCCCTTGTGTAACATGGCACAGCAAAATAGAAGAGGGGAATAATATTAGAATGTGAGAAAACTTACATGCAAAGCCAGACAAAATGCCACATAGGTGCCCCAGTAAAGAAACATTTGACATAACAACTTGGAACACTACCAGCAAGATCCATACATACCTGAAATAGATATTTAAGTAAATATGTCAAAATATTACCAAAAAGGGCGATGTAAAATGAACAGAATTAGAATCACATAAGCATGTTACTGTAATTACCATTTAGCAGGTACGTTAAAGAGTCCAAAGACACTGCAGAGAGAAAAGTTTGTGAGTTAGTAGAACCCAATACATTTGTCAAGAATGAAAGAAAACAGGGAAAAGAATTCTAATAATGTGCAGCTGTGTATGCGATGAATGTCTTAGCACCCATTTGTATGATCAAATAAATGAAAGCTTCGGAATATCTAATTATTCTAGGTTAGGGAAACGATAGCATTTGCAAAATTCTCACTCAGTGAAAGAAAAAAAAACCATGGTATGTAATACATTTGAAATTAAACATTAGAAAAGCCAACCTTCTAGACTGGTGTCCACTCAGACTTGTCTCTATCACAATCATAGAAAACAAGATTCCCGAGAAGCCTATTGCACATTCATTCATGAGATACGGATCAGAGTGAATGGGATTATAGGCCACCAAAAGCGCAATCGTAAGATGAAACAGTGCATTGCTTATGGCCAATAGAAAGATTATGTACAACATGCGGACAGATCCCATGATTCTCTCCAACTCAGAACCCAAAGGAACCAATGCCATCATGTTGAACAATACATGAAGCACTGAACCATGAAAGATAATGGAGGTGAAAATCCTGTACACTGAAAAGGAGAACAGAAAGTGACCATGAGATGTGTCAGATTGCATGCAATAAAGGGATATTATTTTTATCTATTAACAGAACAAATCACCCAAATAACTTTTGTTGATTATTAAACATAAGCTAAATTGAGCTTTTGACTGACGAAAAAAAGATAGATCAAAACAAGCAGCTGTTCAATTCTCTATTCGAGGCTTCAAATTGGGCCAAGCAGGTGACACAAAGATTGTGTTGTAGCTGGATAATAGAGGGACTAAAATACAGGTTGTAGCTTGATCATAAAAGATCATGATCTAGGGCAATACTAAATCGAAGAAACTACTGGCAGGTTTCTAGGCCAGTGTGCTGGACTTATACACAAAAGAATCCAAGGGAGCAACCAAAACAGCTAAGCAGTACTAATGGTGTTAAAGTCACTTAATTAATCTTATAACTTCAAGCCTCCACATTCATGCAACAAATTATCTCCAATATTGGCGAAATAGTGACAACACCAGAATAATATAAAACATAATACAATAATCTTAATTTGTTTATTAGTATAAAGGACTACAAATCATAAGGTCTATTACCAAAATCATGTGAACTTGAACATAACTTGAAATGATGTTTAACCAAAAAAAAAATGATGGACCTCTGCTTTGTGGCAAAGTAAAATTTTAGTAGCATCATCAAAATTATTGAAATCAGAACAGAAGAATAACAAAGATGTTAAGTTGCACGATCCTCAAAAGTATCCAGAAGTGAAACATCAAGAAAAATAGTGTGAGAATGAGGGGCAGGGAAGGGCATGTTTAACCCCAGCAAAGAGGCTGGAAAAATTGGACTTCTTTCCAATAACTAATAAATTCAAAACTGACCAATGAATGTAGCAATCATGTCAGATTTCAGTTTCAAACAATTTACCTTGAAATCTTGATAGAACTGCAGAGGGCAAAAAGCATATTTCGTAAAAGGAGTCATATCCAACCAGGAGACAGATCAAGTAAATAGTTCCACACACGCCAACAACCGCAGAAGTAAGAAAAGGAATGCTCTCCCACCATTGCCCCAACCTAGTTTGCAGTCCTGCCTATACACCCAAACATAGAATCAATATGAAATTTACTAGAACACAAAATTAATTAGATATAAAAACAAACACACAAGCCATGAATGTCCAAGTAAATACTAATTTCAACATAAATAAATAAATAAAGCAACCAATGGTCTATATAAGTTCCATGATGTTGCAGCTAAACACAACCAAGACATGCTCAAACATGAAAGTATATATGTGCAATAAAGAACAAACAAGAAGAAGAAGAAGAAGCAAGAAACTCCTAACAGTTCACTCATGAGAGCAGAGTACAAATGTAAATCAAATATCCGCCCATTTTTATCCAAAAAAAAAAGTATCAGCATATTTTTAGCAACAAAAATTGAGAAGCTCAAAGCAACTAAATTCCATTGTTATAATATTGCCAGTTTTCCAAGAAAAAAATTACCTCGTGCTGTACTTAACTAGATTCAAAAATTTCCGCATTTTCTCAGCAACCAAACATAACATTAAGAGAAAACTATAACTCTCTGAGGAATATGCGAAGTTGAAGGTAAAAACGAATGGGAAAGAGAGCTAGATCGGAGAGTTGTGAGATTTACCTCGGAAACGATGTTTGGCCTCATTTCTTCTTGCTGCTGCTGCTGCAGTTATGTGACTTGGTTTTGAAAAAACTTTAGTTAGAATAGTCTTGGAGAGCACCAAGTCGCTTTTTTGGCGTTTGCGTTGTGCGGGGATCTCGAACTCTCTATCTTTTCGAACTCGGATCGTGAAATACGGGCGGGTCGAGTCCATGAAACAAATCATGGGTTGGGTTGAGAAGGCCCGCATTTATATTGGAACCCGGGTTAAATCCAAGAAGAAGTGTTCTCTTGTCTTAATGCTAATGGAATTTCCCTAATTTTGTTTTGATAATTAAGGAATTTCTCATTTGGAACACGTTGTTTGAGTTGTATCTAAAATATCTATGTGAAGAGAGTAACTTCTTTGAATCTTTTCGAACAAGGAGTGCGAAGTTTCGAAAGTTCCCAAAATTTACACTGAGTTAGATCTCGTCCTAACCCGAGCATAGTTCAGGGTTGTATTCTTCAACTGAAAACGAAATTCCCATGCAGAAGCTCTGCACCAAAATTCACGTTTAAGGTCTTCTCTAATGCAGAAAGAATATTTTGGCTTGGCTAGAGGAAAACTACTATAGAAGATGCAAATTGGTTAGAAAAATGTAGTATTTTGTAACATAGATTTTTCATTTGATAAAATGCAGGAAATGTATGCATCCGACAGTTACGATGAATTACACTTTACATCCAACGATTGGTGCGAGGTCATGAGCAATGTCTCGTAAAGTAACGACCTTCAGATTTGCTACTGGAACTATCACTTTGGTTATGAACCCCATAACTTTTAAAAACGTGCCAATTTGCCTTTAACGTCGAATTTGTCAATTTTTTCGTTACATTTAAGGTTATTTTGTCTATTCAAATGAAACAAATTAAGATGGAAGCATAGCACTTTTCTGTCCCTCCCATCTGCTTGTGTGTTGTTATTCTGTTGAGTGAGTGAGAGGAAGGAAACTCGAAGACTCTAAGCAAATAAAGAGAGAATTGATATTTGTCATGATGCAAGTACTGATCAGAGGATCTCGATTTATCTTCCAATAAAAAAAGAAGATACATTTCTATCCTGTGAAATTTTGGGCGATGCAAATACACATAACAAATCAAATTTGGCTTACAAAAGTTGGGTGGGGAGAACAACTACAGATGATAAAACAGACTGGAGTAGCAATGTATACTGATCTGCTTTAGCCTGAATTGATGCCACATGACAGATTCAGACATCATCTTTCTAGCATCCAGAATATGCCTAGCAGGCGACACAGTTTGATTCTCCAGCAGTTGAATCTGCAGACAAAAGTTCACCCATGTAACCACAGTAACATTCCACCACCTAGAGATTTAGGCATTATTATAACTTGGTAAAACAGAAAGAAAATGCCAGTACAATGATTACCGCATGCTCAGAAGTCTGAACAGTTCAGAGTTCACAAAATACTCGGTCTTAATTAAGTATGAATATTATAACCGTGCTCACAGCATGTGGAGATGACATTGAGAACAACAAAATTTATCACACATAAAATGTAAGATTCCACTACATAATATTGAGTAGGAAGAAAGAAATTTCCCCCGACCAATCTATGCTTACCAGTTTAGGGTCACAAGAGAATAAAGAGTTCCTACTTCTCAACATCCCACCCTTCTAATCTCATGGCAGGATCATAGTTTGTGAATAGCCGAAACTCGTTTCCTAGTTTGCTAGAGTGTTGGGGCCTAAAACCACATGGATGTAATCCCATGAGTTCAGCTGCTCTCTCTTTCTGCACCGCTCCTGCAAGTCATCATATAACAGTTAGTTGCAACAAACTGAAAGGTGCTAGCAATAACACTTGTTCAATTTCTGATTCCAATAACAAAAATCTCACTGGTGAAATGTTTTAATCCTGTCTTGTAACGCAGTAATTACAATGTAGCCTGTGCAGGTTTGGCAATATTCTTATTATGTTTTGCCAATTATATAGGAGGGAAATGTCTACCTGTGAGGAGAAGCAGGTAAGATTTTTCTGATCGTGCAAGAAATGAAACAGTTTGAGCAACTTTCTCCAAGCACTCCCGACTCTGAAAACACCAGTTATACTATATCAGCAATTTGTTCATAACCACAACTTCACAGTCCTACCTATGAATACAGATTCGACCCCTATACGAGAGATGTAGAAAAAGCAATGCAGTCACCAAGCATGGTACAAACACAGTCATGAAAATGTATTTCGATGCTAGATCTTAATTCATACAGAGTGCATGAAGACTCAGATTCAAATTATTTTGCTACATAACACACATACCCATGAGTTATAACACTGAACCAAATGACATAAAGAAGCATAATTTTGCTCACCAGGTAAGGGGGATCAGCAACTACAATTTCAAAAGCATGCTTGAGCTCCAATGGCAAGTCTTCAGGTCGGTTGTAATCATAAAACGTGAAATCACTCCCGTACTGCTCAAACCGCTTGTCATACTCAAGCAGTTGCACAGGCACGTCAGAATCATTGTTCTGAAAATAGAAATAAATAAATAAAAATCAGTAAAAACATTAAATTTAAAAACAAACAAACATTAAATTAAAACCCAGAGAGCGAAAAGATGAAAGGGACCTTGAGATAGGCGTAGAGTGAGGGGCAAGCGACGCAAGCAACCCTAGCGGCCGAGTCGGGGAGCGAGTTGCAGAGAGTGAGGACCTCTTGGGCTAGGGTTTCGGCGGTGTGGGGGTCGTACCAGAACTGGCTCAGTCTCCAGTCTTCGGAGATGAGAGCTGGAGCTGCCGAGTCTGCGGCTCGGCTCTCGGCGGCGGGGGCCGGGGAGGGCGGGGATTGCTCCCCTCCGGACTCCCTGTGTGCTCTT